ACCTTATGGAATAACCTTTTTATAAAAGCAATAAGTCCCGTGAAGCCGTGGTTTACAGTGAATTTATAACAGCTAAGGGGGTTTTACAACGAGCAAAACAACAAAAATTCATTGTAAACCACAGCTTTTTGGGGCTTATTGCTTTATTAGTTGTCATAAGAGTTTTCATATGAATATGTGACCATGTTCTGTATTTTTTTTTCTTCTTTTTTTTCTTTAAAATTTTTTGTCCCTATTTTTCATATGTAAAAGTGTTTATGTGTTTAATTGTTATTGTAATTTTTTATTAAAGCAATAAGCCCCAAGAAGCCATGTGTCACAGATCGGCCAGGCTCAGCCACCTCCCAATCACAGCGAACACCATCACCTGAGTACTGATCACACGCACCTGTCACAAATCTGCAATCATCATCAGCTCCCCTTCAAAAGCACACACCTCACTTCACTCCAGTGTCCGGTCTCGTTTCAACGAAGTGGATTCTCTCTCTATGCTATCTGTGAGATACATTGAAAGACTTACCTTCCTGTTATACTTACCTCCTGTGTTTCCTCCAGTGTGTTCTCCTGTGTCCCATTCCCCTAGGCCGTTCCAGTCATCAGCTCCGTGGAAACTCCGTGTACTCTTCAACTGAGGTCTGTGCAGTCCTCTGTCTCCCTTCCACGATCTCCTGTGAGGACCAAAGACAGTGTTGCTCTCCTCATCTTCCTTAAAGACTGATATTAAGCTCAATTACTCACCTGCCCGAACCATCTACACCTCTTGCTGAAAATAAACGATATTGTATTTTTCTAATCCTCTGTGTGAGTCTCCTTCCGTAACACCAAATAAAAACAGTATTCTTCCACCAAACAATGTAGTTCCTCAGAAACTGTTGTGGTTGCAACAAAGTGGTTGCCAAGCAACACACAAAGGTGTATGTTTGTAGAGTAATTTACAACAGCTTCGAACCAATCAGCGAACTCAACCAATCAGAATCAAGGACCGGATCTATCAGTTTTATAATTTTTATTTTTTATTTTTTATTTTTATGTGGTGGTGGGTATTACCAAAAACGGGGAAAAAAATGTGAACGGAAGAGAAAGTAGAAGGAAGAGAAAGTAGAAGGAAGAGGAAGTAGAAGGAAAAAGGAATAACTATTGGTAAAAAATATTATGTTTTCAAAGGGAAATAAAATTCACTTGTATAATTGTATTAAATGTGTTTTTGAATTGAAAGACAAAGTATAAAAAAACAGTTCTACTCTCACAAATACCATTGCTCAGATGAAATGCCAACATGAATTAGTGCGCAAACAATTTATAATTTTGCTGAAGTGAGATTTGTCAACATATGTCACTAATCAAAAGGAAAATTAAAGATGATTGGGGGGGGTGCTTCTTCCCCCATCTTACCATACAGTATATTATAGTGTTTGTAGTTGTTCATTAAACAGTGACGAAAATGATAAATTGTCAAAATACACTAAACTTTTCGTTTAATCTGTAAATTCAGGGCTTTTATTAATTACTTTATGAAGCTGCTATGTCTGTTTACAGTAATTTACTTTTAAAATACATTTTTATTTGCTTTTTTTATGTGCGATATAACTGAAATAAGTCAAAAACACAGTACATACAATCGTTATTAATCGAATTATTAATTATTAATTATTAATAAATTTATTAATTTGGCTCTATATTTTAAATGAGTCCCACTACCTAAAAATAGATTCTAAGGCATGACTTTTTATTTATTTCACCCAGTAATATCAGCTTTTCAACCTGGGAAAACTCAGCCCACTTTCAACATGTTAAAAGTCACAATGTACTTCATACATTTGTCACAGAATGAGTTTGATGGAATGACATACTGACAAGGAAAAGGTAAGTGTGGAGAGGACAGGGCAAGACTACTTGCTCTGTCACATTATGCGCTGTGCAGTGTGGCAGAATGAGCAGAGAGCCTTATATTTCCTAACAGTAACAAAAATCCACTTTAAAGTCAAACATACAGTATATATGACAAAAATAATCACAATATATTTTTTGACCAAATTGTTCTGCTCTATACTCCAATATAAATGAATAAATGACAAATCATTTAAAACGAACACAATTAAAATAAAACACTTATTAAAATTTTCTTAAATATTAATAAATATATTATTATGTGTTTGCCTGCATGTCCTGTGACCATTAACTGACATCAGAAAACCACAAACATGCACAGCACAACTCTGCACAGCATTTGAAAGAGAATGAATAAGAGCTTGCACTAAACAGAAAACTAAGCGCTATAAGTGAATCATAATCAGCCATACAAAAATCTCTTAGTGCCCCAGGAGACGTAAACCTACTTACAAGTAATTAGCAACAGGGTGAGCGTGATTTGACCAAGTACAACATGTTCCTGGATCAACATCCTTGTTGATCCTGGAACAACATTCCAATCAACCAATCAGAATTGAGATATAACTTTTCAGGAAATATCTGTTTTAGGCTTACAATCAGGGTTAGGTGCTTGTTAATTAGCTATCATTTCCCACTGATTTTAGGAATAAATGATGGGTAGGGTTAGGTTTAGGGGTAGGGATTGGGCTAAGTCTATATTTTTGGACAATGTTGATCCAGGATCATCAAAAGATGTTGATCCAGGAACATGTCTTACTTGGCAAAATCACGGCGACCTAGCAACAGCATCTCCACACTCCAGCTCAGTAGGTGGCGGTATTTTACCTTTAAACTGGTTTTCCATCTGCCAATACTCGTTAGAAGAAGACGACACAGTCCTTTCAAACAAAAATGTCTGCGGTCATGCCGGAGCTGTTGACGAGTACACACGTGGAGAAAATGAAGAAGAAAAAGGTCGATATTATCATTTATTGCTTCGGCTACAGTGTAATCAGCTTTTACTGATCGGCATTAATGTCTTTGATGATGTCGGATGTTCACAGTAAAGATGTTGTTTATTTCACTGGTTTTATTAACAATTATACTCGGCAGCAGCCTACTGAATACATTTCATATCAAATGCAAGTACTTTTGTTGTATGATATATTCCTAGGAATTTCAATGACGTGAATGTTTTTATAGGCTGATGCATATGTGACAATATTATAATGAAGAAAAAGCTTTATTGATTAATGATGTTCTTAAAAAAGAACTTTAAAAAGTTTGAAATAATTTTTTATTATTATGCCTTAAAAAACACTTAATAACGTTTGACTACTGAAAACGCGTCTTAATTCAGTGTGGAAACAGAGCCAAAGTTAAGTGGATGTAACCAACATGAAAATAAAACAAACACGAATAGAATGAAGAAGACATTTGCAGACACTGACTCATGACTGTCTGTATTTCTAAGAACTAGATTTTTCTTCATTATGGACAGACTTATTTGTTATTTACCCAACAAGGTAAACAGTCTAAATAAAGTATACCAGGCAGGGGACAAATTTGTAATTGTTTCCAAAGAAAAACATTTGCTCCTGATTGAAAAAGTAAACAAACAAAAAAAGGATTAATTGATTTGTGAAAACATTTATGAATGTGTGGCTTTTTCTTACTCAGCCTCCAAAACGCTATTGGGAGGAAACAGAAAACACAGACCAAAGCCAAAGGAGACCAGAGGAAGAAGAAGGCAAAGCTGGGCAGAACCAGAATGAATCAACAGTAAAAGAAAGGCCATTAAAAAGGAAGAATGATGAACGTTTGGAGGTAAGAGTATTTTTCATTCAGTGAAATATTTTGACAGTAGTTTACTAGTATCCTAATAGATGAGAAATTCAAAAATCTTTTAAGAAATTGTTTTAAAAGCATGCATCAGGTATTTTAAAATGTACACCGTGTATTTATGTTGATTTTATGTAATTAAAAATGACATATGCACCTTTTTTATTATTATTATTTTTTTATTTTTATTTTTTTTACAAAAGTTAAGAATGAATGTACCTGAAAATGTCAAATGGTGTAACTGCCAAAGAGTGAGGAATATTAAATATTTTATCCACCTAGATGGCATGTAAGCTTACACATAGAAATAAATACTTCATTTTAAAATATCACACGAAAATAGATTTTATTGGCGTTATCTCTACATTTTAATTCGTTTTTTTATTTAAAAATGTTAAAAACCATGTTATTATACTAAAGTAGATGATTAGATTGTATTCCACATTAATTTTCCTGTATATAATTATATTTTTATGAAAAATATTGGTTACGCCAATTGACACAAACCAGTTACACCACCTGACCATGTTGCTTCTACAGCCAAAGGCTATTGTTTGTTGAAGAAATTGACAATGAAAATCAAGCATGACAGTAGGGCTGCACAATAAATCGCAATCACGATTAGGCAGAAGCTGTGATTGTCATGCGCATCTTGTCAGTGAAGCACGGTTCTGTGATCAGCAGTAAATCTCCATCCGAGGGCCAGAGAAACTCCAAATACACCCCGCAGAAGAAACCCAATCCCTATAACGCTAGCTGAATAAACAGAAGATTTAACTGCTTTCATTGATTCAGCGTGACTAATAAACACACGACTAAGACAATATATGGTTTATCTGAGTTCTCATTATAATTTTTATTATATTTTTTATTATAATAAAGTATATAATAATGCAATGCTAATTGACACAGCCTCTATCACTGCTTAGAATACTATGAAATATGTTGCGTGCCTTATTCTGTGTAAGAAGCACATCATCTCACAGAAGGATTTATTTCAAACACTCGACTGACGTTATGAAGTGAGTTTGGAGTAAAAACATGTTATTAAATGTGGTATTTTCACGAGCTTTCAGATGGAGCAGCATTAGTTCACTGAGACGCTACGCAAACAGCTGTCATTATCGCGAATGATTTCTTTGATTACATAATCGCATGATTATATCGTCTGCGTTGTTTGTGTGTGTAGCTTGTCAGTGAACTACGGCTCTGTGTAGTAAATGCTGCTCCATCTGAAAGCACGTGCTGGAGCTTTACTACTGATCACAGAACCGGCTTTGCGCATGACAATCGCATTCGATTAATGGTGCAGCCCTACATGACAGTCAACAAGTTCAGCTGAAGTGCTTTTTTTTCAATGCTGAAAAAAAAAATCTGGCAAAAATAAAGTTAAGAAACAATATCTGACAAGAAATCATAGTGATGAACTGTGAACTCCATGTCTCATATTGTAATTTTATTTTTCGTATTGTAATTTTGTATTGTATTGTGGAATCTATTGGGGAAAAAGGAGTTCTGTTATATCATTAATTAGGCTATAAAATATCAGACATTTAATGAATTGTATTTTACAGATGTCAATTGTCATCTTTGGTTAACATTTTTTATCACTGAATTTATGTTCAATTGTCGACACCCACCTCTTTCAGCTACATTATTAAACCATTTATGTATATATATTACATTATATTATATGATACTATATTTTGCTTAAAGGGATAGTTTACCCAAAAATGAAAATTACCCCAATGATCCCCCCCACCTTAAGCCATCCTAGGTGTATATGACTTTCTTCTTTCAAATGAATACAATTGGAGTTACATTAAAAGTGAATGGGTGATATTCAACAGTCCAATAGAAGTCCAATAAACTCTGTCCGTCCATCATAAAAAAGTGCTCCACACGGCTCCGGGGGGTTAATAAAGGCCTCCTGAAACGAATCGATGCACCTTCGTAAGCAAAATATCCATATTTAAATATTTATGAACCATAATCTCTAGTTTCCGCTAACTGTTGTACGCGCGTTCACAAGAGAGTGGCGTTCAAATGGATTGAATATCACCCATTCACTGGCATTATAAAGCTCGGAAAAAGCCAGGACATTTTTATTTTTATTTTTTATAACTCCGATTGTATTCGTCTGAAAGAAGAAAGTCATATACACCTTGAATAGCTTGGAGTGAATCTGGTGGTAATTTTCATTTTTGGGTGAACTATCCCTTTAAAATGTTAGGTGACTGGAATAGAAATATGCATTAAAGCTAAACATTTCAAAAACACTAATGTTGTGCAACATAATTATTTTATCCTAGACTTACAGAGCTTTAATAATAAAGTTGTAGATAAAGCACCACTTTCTCCATCACAGTATGGTAGGGGCGTAACATTTCCGTCACACGCTTGAGGTATTCGGCCAATCACAACGCACTGGATAGCTGGCCAATCAGAGCACACCTAGCTTTTCCGACCGATGAGCTTTGTAAAAATCGACACGTTTCAGAAAGGCGGGGCATAGAGGAGAAACAATAATGTACAGTATTTCATTACACCAAATACACCAAATAATGTTCTTTTTAGCAGCATCATATGACCCCTTTAAAATGCACCTTTATTGTGGTTCTCAGATAATTGCAATTGATCAATTTAGCCAACATCAAGTCAACATCCTAACTTAAGAAAGTGTTTTAATAAAATTGGTTTAATTGCACTTTTTAGTTTAACATTTCATTTGAATGGTTTTGCTTCAATTGTCTGCCCTGATTTGACAAAATTTGACAGCCCTTCTCGTTGGTTTGTTGCTAATTTAGAAAAAGGACCCTTTTCCTGGTGAGGCTCCTATACCACATAAGCAACTCCAGAAGTTTCAGAGAGGAGAGAAATGCAAAGTGGTAAGTCCAAATTCTGCATAAATAAAAAAAGTTTTATACTTACGACATTGTCAAATTGTTTTTCTATATATTTTTTATATTTCTGTTTTGAGTTTATTTGGCATGTAGAAATGGATGCAAATCCTTGTAAGCGGTGGGTAATGTGAACAGAATCGTATATCACTATATTTTTCTGTAAATACTTCTGAAGAAATGTTTAACAATCAGCCCTGAATTTTAGAGTTTTTATTAAAGCAAACTTTAAAACTTACATAGGAATGGTGTTAAAACACCAACCAACGCTTTTTTTTTTATTGCTGGAAATAAAATACAATTGTAATGTATCTTTAACCAGTGATATATCTCAATACCAAAGAAAAAAAAACTTTTAACCTTAATATATTGATAACTAGAACTGATGACGAAAACATGAAAGAACCAAAACTTTAAATATTATATAATCATATGTAAAGTTGCACACGAACGTCTAGGAATGTCCTTTTACTGTTTTCCACAGTAAATTACATGGTAATTCATATCCTTTAACATAAACCATAAATTTGACAGTTATTTTAAAGTAAAATTACATGTAATGTTATGTTACATTCATTTACATTTTTTCGCTATGTATGGCAAGGTAACGTAGTTAACCAATTAAAGGGATAGTTCACCCAAAAATGAAAATTCTGTCATTAATTACTCACCCTTACTCACCCTCATGTCGTTCTAAACCTGTAAGACCTTCGTTCACTCCGCGTCACCCTATAGCGCCATTTTGGAGAGTATCACATACGTAAACAACGTTGTTTACGTATGTGATACTCTCCAAAATGGCGCTATAGGGCGACGCGGAGATGACGAACTGTTGAATAAAGTCGTTATTTTTGTTTTCTTTGTGCACAAAAAGTATTCTTGTAGCTTCGTAAAATTACGGTTGAACCCCTGATGTCACATGGATTATTTTACCCATGTCCTTGCTACGTTTCTGAGCTTTGATTGTTTTAGTATCCTTGCTGTCTATGGGAGGGTCAGAGAGCTCTCAGATTTTATAAAAAATATCTTAATTTGTGTTCCGAAGATGAACGGAGGTCTTACAGGTTTGGAACGACATGAGGGTGAGTAATTAATGACAGAATTTTCCTTTTTGGGTGAACTATCCCTTTAACAACCAATTTACAGTAATTTTATGCTACAGTTCTGAAAAAAATTCACAGTCTAGTCTGGAAGATACATTGTGTATTTACTAAGTGTGTCTTTTTGTGGTTTGACAGCTAAAGTCTGCTACAAATGGCATTATATATCAACCTTTCTAGTCTTCAGTTTGTTTGGTCACTTAATTTTTTTCATACACCAAACTTCAAACCCACTAATGCCACTGCTTGCATCTTAGATGTGAGCACACAAGTACATTATAAAAATGCGAACACATTTTTTTTCCCTTGTGAAATATCGTGGGGGTAAAACCTGACCTGGACACAATTTTAGCAGATTTTGTGAGATTCACCCAAATAACATAATCTGAATCAGAACAAGGACTGCTTTTCATGTTTTCAAATGATTTCACTCTGCTTTTATGTATCAGCCTGCAGGAGCCCGTCGAAGGCTGAAAGAAGCCATTACATCCTCTGAGGCCATGTCTGAACACGCTCAGAAACAGGCTGCAAGATATGATCTTTTACTTCCAGAGGATGCTGGGTAATGCAGTTCACACATTGTCATTCTTTTTTTCATCTGCCACATTGACTGTAAACCCTCAGAAGTATTAAAAGAATAGTTCAACAAAAAATTTTAATTATGTTATTACATCACCTTCATATAATTTCAAATCTGACTTTCTTGCGTGTAACACAAAATGAGAATGGAGATTGTGAATGTCCAAGCTGCTCTATTTCTAAACAATAAAAGTCAATGTAGACAGTAGCTATGTTTGCATCCAAAGATTTTACACATTTACATTTAGACATTTAGCAGACGCTTTTATCCAAAGCGACTTACAATTGGGGGATACATAAAGCGATTCTTCTTAAAAGAGGCAAACAGATACAGGAAGTGCTTGTAATACCAAGTTTTTAGACATTGTTCAAA